AGTGTGCAGGATACAATCTATCTTGATGGGTCAGGACTGAAGTATTTTCCTTAAAAGAGATGTCAACTTCTTTATTGGTAGATTGTGTCCAATCTATCTTCAACAATTCCATATTACATGTTCCTCTTTTGGACATGTAAAGTACCAATCCTGGTAAATTCATTGAAACTCGTTACATGTCGCCTTTTCATTGGGCCAAAAATAATAGAGTAAACAAAGTTTTGAAAATATATGGAGATAGGCATAGAAATGAAGCATGATAATCATTGGTAAGAATTGCTCTGCTCTTAATCAGGTGTGTAAACGTTAATTGTATTTACTATATATATATTTTAGTAACAATTATTTACTTTCAAATTCTTACCAATGATTATCATGCTTCATTTCTATGCCTATCTTCATATATTTTCAAAACTTTGCTTTACTCTTAATCAGGTGTGTAAACGTTAATTGTATTTACTATACTTTCTTATCATATATATATATATATATATATATATATATATATATATTTAATAACAATCATTTACTTTTAAATTTTTACCAAATGATTATCAGGCTCCATTTCTATGCCTATCTTTTTCCTGCATAATAGAGTCAAAGACCTATTGCTAACATTTTCTCTAACCTACTTGGTTCCTTTTAGGCCATCTGCACTAGCCTCTCCGGATTTTGGCTCTCTAAAAACGCCACCTCAGCTTTTCCAAGAGCCACATCAGCAATTCCAAGAGCCACGTCAGCAGTTTTCGCTCTCCAGAAATATGCACTCCATCAGGCTCTCCGAATTTTCGCTCTCCAAAAAAAATAATAATAATAAATTAATATTAAATTTTTTTTTTTTAAAGCTTTTCCTAAACGATTATATTTGCAACAGCTATATTTGCTCAACAGTAATATTTTTCAATCGAACAATATTTTTGTAAATTATTAAAAAAACTACAATTGATATTAGAACTTGAAATAGTACATTATCCATTATGGATTTAAAAAAAAAAAAAAAACAAATTAAACAAAACAATTAAAAATAAGTTAAACAATACAATATCCTAAATTGGAATAAGAAAATAAATAGACCAAGGATTATAAAATCCTATGGGAACTTTGGGGCGGACCGTGAATTCAAAGATGCCAATATCTTATTTTGTCGTGCAATAATCCAAGCTTTCCCCGCTTCTGTTGGTGCCGAATTTGGATCTGTTAACATAAGCTCCTTCTTTTCAAGTCTCTGTTTCTCTTTGATCTCTAGCTGCCTTGTCTTCTCTTTCTCCATTTTTCTTACCTCTCGTGCCACTTGGGCATCCTGCATTTTCTCCTGACGACTCTCAAAACGGATGGTGATATTATTAAATTTCGAAACGAATGAAGTTTGCAATTCATTCGCTGAATTAATTTTTGTTCGACGCTGCTTCGCCGCTTTACTTCCTGCTGGTCTTTGTAGTTGATATTCTTTCACACCGGGTGAATTATTTTCCCCTATGTGTGGTGATTCTTCAGTTGAAGCTCCATCTGTCGTGGCTACATGACTTGACGGAGTAGATGGTAATGACTGCCCAATAGACTCATTAATGTCAAAGTCAAATCCACTTCTCTTCTTCGGCTCTTTTTTCTTTTTTCCTTTTCCTACTTGTTCGGCACAATGTGAATTTCATTTATTGTTATGCTTCAAGATCTCCTAACAACTTTCTAACTTAAATTGACCACCCGTTTGGCTACGAAACAGGTCTTTAGCTGCTATCATCTACACAAAAAAATAACAAAAAATTAAAAGCCGACTATTTAAAATATTTACGAGTTATATTTAAACAATAAATAACTCACCATATCATCACTGTTAAAGCCGCTGGGACGATTCATTTCTATGGTAGTCATGCAGCCGGAAAATTTGCTGATTTTTTGTTGGATCACCGACCAACGATTCATCAAAGCTATATCATTTCGCTCAGTTGGAGGAACATCAATATGTTGTATATATTGTTCCAGAATTCGCTCCTATAACTTCTTCTTACTTTGGTCTGCCCCCGTAATCGCATCAGAGGTAATGGACAACCATGCCCAACATAAAGCTTCATCTTCAGCCTTGGTCCAATTATTAGGTCTGGTAGACGGTTGTTTTGACGGGGGTTTTGAGTTACTTGATTGTGGAACACTAGTACCACAATATTGATGAGAAGGTTGGGATGGTTGATAACAAGGTTGGGATGGTTGATGAGAAGGAAATTGAGAATCTTCTTCATGAAAATTGATATTCTCTTCGGGAAATGGCAAAAACTCATCATTTGATGGGTTGAATTGGGTGCTGTAATAATATGGATGTCAAGGATCCATGGAATCGAAATGACTTTGAAAATAATATCTAAGATTGAGAAAATAGAAGAAGAAATAAGTTGAATGGTAGATAATAGAGATGTGATGAGTGATGGTAGGAGTTGGGGTATTTATAGAGATTTTAAAAATTTTTATTTAATTTTTTCTTTTTGAATAAGTTATAAAATTTGAATTTTTAAACTTTTTTTTAAAATTATAGCCGTTAAGGCACTGTTTGGTACTGTAGAAACAGTACCTTAATGGCCAAATACACTATTTGGCCTACTTATTTAAAATTTAAAGCAAAAAAAATTTAAAAAAAACCAAATTTTAAGGGAAAAAAGGTAAAATTTGAATTTTTAAATTTTTTTTTAAAATTATAGCCGTTAAGGCACTGTTTGGTACTGTAGAAATAGTGTCTTAATGGCCAAATACACTATTTGGCCTACAAATTTAAAATTTAAAGCAAAAATTTTTTTAAAAAAACAAATTTTAAGGGAAAAAACAAAAAAAAAAAAAGTTTTTTAATATATTTTTGGCCCATTTTTTTTTTTTTTTTAACAAACAATGCCTAAACAATATATTTTTTATTTAATGAATTTAATTTTATTTTTTTCCCAAAAAAAATAACTCTAAATAACCTATTTTAAGGTTTTTTCAAAAAAAAAAAAATTGCCAAAGGCACTGTTTGGAAACTGCCATGCATTTGGACCAAAAAAAGGCAACCCAAACGGCTCCGTTTCAAACTACAATAAATAAATAAAAAATTATCACGATTGCAGGCCGGCTCGCGGAATATCGCGAGCTTAATCTAGATCCTACCATTTTCACGAGCCCGTTGGAGGAGAGAAAATTGGTTTGGCTCGCGGAAAGGGCCTTCCGCGAGCCCACTGCGGATGGCCATAAGGACGCTATATTAATTCTTCTCCTAATCACATGGTCTGTCTATTCGCCTTTTGCCTATTAATATTCTTATATTCCAAGTCCCCAAGAGATACACAGGTTTTGTCCACATTCTACCAGGAAGATTTGATGGCCCCTGGGCCCCTTGCTCAAATTTCAAAGCATCAAAAAATAGTTGCAATAAGTTGGTTAAGGTGAATGTCCTAGTATTTAATAATAAAATATTCTTAGGACTCGCATCCAAATATTCTTGACAAAGTGTTCACAAAGAGCAGTTCTTTCAAAGATTTGCTCCACGATCACTGCGACTCTCAAACTTGGGGAATTACACGGAAAATTCTAGCCGAGTGGAATCTCTCCCGTCTTGTTGTCGTCCTCCCCCTAGTCCACCGGATTGATCTTGCTGATTGGTTTGAGCTACAACACTTTCCCTACCAATTAGGGATTGACCACCGGATTATTCTGGCCGTTAATTTTAGATATCTGCTCTGTTCTTGGTCCAGGCTAGTTCCATGTTTGGGCTTTGTCCCATTTGGTTATGTTTGGGCTTTGTCCCCTGTTGTTCCAATTTGGTTTCTTGGCCTAAGGCCCAGTACATGTAATTATCCTTTTTCTTCATATTTCGAAAAAAAAAAATAGTCTTAACAAAATTTTATCTTCATTTTGATTAGACAGAAATTAACATGAGTGAATAAAGGATCTAATTAATTTGCAGGAGGAAGACGGAGTTAACAAAATTTTATCTTCATTTTGATTAGAGAGAAATTAACATGAGTGAATAAAGGATCTAATTAATTTGCAGGAGGAAGACGGAGTTATAAATAAGATGGCATATTGGAAAATTAGAACACTAGCAGAAAAATGAAAAAAATAAAATAAAATAAAATAACATAAAAAATAGAGATGGTATGTCCTACCATCCAATACGAGTAGAGTAATTCATTACTGTATTAGAAGAGTGGGATGGGGGGAAATAATAATAAAAAAGAAAATAAAAGAGTAGACACACCTTATAAATAAGGGTCTCACATCTACATTTTTGGCCACAACTCATCATAGTGTGTGGCCGATTGTCCCAGAGTCGATGTTATAAGCAAAAATTATATCCCCTTTCCACATAAACCACAAATCACCATTTTGAGCAAACAGGAACAAGATCAACCATCATATCTTGATTTTCCTTTAGCAATGCCAAGGAGATAACAGGGTTTGAACCCTATTTTTTCATATTGTGATCTCCCAAGACCAAGACATGCAGAACCTGTTCCACTCTACTAACAAACAAATTGGGAACAATTCTTGTGACAAATCAGTGATAGTAAAGCACCCAGTCTCTACATATAGAGATAACACTGATGGCATACCTATCAAGGTTCGACCACCTCCCCCTTCCCTCCTGTGGATATTTCTCATCTGAAAGTTTTATTGAAGCCAAAGGAGTTTGAACAAAAATAGACTAGCAACTTGTGAATTGGACAATAAAATCAGTAAAGCTATAGTTGGTACAAACTATTATTTCTCCACCACTACCATGCAACTGAACATTGCATAAGTGCATAGTGCTTGTAATTGAAATGTATTGCCAAAAATTGCCTTTTTATTTCACCAACAAAGCAAAACAACCTCACTCCCATTTCTCAGAAATTCATTTTCTGTTGGAGTAAAAACGAATACCTAAATAAATCTTAAAATGTTTTAAAAGGCCCCATAGACATCCATCCAAACATATATAATCGGCTAATTCCATAACAGAACTTCATGAAATTAGCGGACAAAATGGATTAACATTATCTACTAGAGAAAGATTCAACATAAAACACCAATTAAAACCACCATGAGATTCTCATGAAAACTTTGTTTTCTTCTTATACTAGAATAATAAAGAAATTTGATATTCGTCAGAAGTATTGATATGCTAAACACACTGAACAAAAGCTGTAGTATATTACTACCCCTAAAATTATTCTTTAGCAAAGAAAAAGAAAAGTATCCATCAAACCTGCTACTAACTAGCTTGGTTCATTTGTGGTTGTGCATTTTCTGATCACATTCCTTTCAAAGTTACCACGCTGGGTGGGCAGCGATATAATTTTTTTGCAACTCTACGTCCTCTAAAAGCAACTACTGTGTGGCGGATTGTCCCACTGTCCATGTTATAAGCAAAGTATTTCTCCTCTCTCCACATGAACCACAAATCACCATTCTGAGCAAACAGAGGAACAAGATCAACCATCATATATTGTTTTTTCTTTAGGAATGCCAAAAAGATAACACACTTTGCACCCCATTTTTGCCTTTTGTGATCTTCCAAGACCAACACATGCAGACCCTCTTCCACCCTATCAACAAATGATAGTTTTCCATTCCAACTTAAAGCCTCGACCTTTTCCCAATTTGGGAGCAAATCTTGTGACAGAGCAGTAACCGTAAAGCACTCGGTCTCTACATCTAGAGATACCACGTCGTCATATATATTTGATTCAGCATTAAATAACCGAATGCAGTGAACAGTGGAGCCAGCTGATACAATTACTGAAGCTCTATCTCTGTTTTTGTTAATATCATCATGTAGGTTAGGGACTTTTGAGGGGTCTCCAAGAATCATCAGTTCCAACCGTAAGAACTTCACAACCTTCATTGCCAGAATTTTCCCCATCAATGTCATAGATAGAGACCAATTTATAATCACCAGTAGATGGAATGAAAGAGAAGGAGATGTCAATGCTACCCATATGTGGATCAGGCAAGTCGAAGTATTTGGCGGGTGGTTGGATTCTGAATATGATACTTATCAGTGGCGTTGCTCATCCTGAGTAGCAAGCCATCACAACCACAGATCAATTGGAATGAGTCAGTGGGAGCTGCGGGAGGGCTTTGAACTATATTATTAAAATAATTATTACTAACGACGGCCCTCCTTCAATGCTTTTCAATGAAGTGGTGATCTTGAATTGTGGCATACAATTGCTTGCACACACACTTGAGCCTCAATAGGATTTTTACTGGCAACCAACTCAGAATCTCAATAATGATTTCAGGGGGGATGCTTGGTTCAGTAGAAGGAACAGTCTTCTGATGCTTCTCTGGTAAACTTGATGCATTTCAAACCTACATTTCTCATAGTGCTCTCAACAACAGAACTCCCTAGAATCTGCCATGGAGCAAAAATAAAAATAAAAATAAAAATAAGGACTAGATACATAATGAGCATCTAAAGGGAATCTTTTACTTCAGATTAAAGATTAGCTATTAAGGTTGGATTGGAAAGCCTAAGGTGATTTAAGATTAGAACTCTCTGTTATAGAGGTTGAGGGTTCAAAACAAGAGAAAACCCTCACATTTTTTATATTAAAAGTAGCAGTATATAATATAGAAATACAAATCCTGCATCCAAATACAGGTCCTCACTCATCTAGTTTATAAGCATACATCAACTGACCAGAGGTATGTGCATAAAAACAAAAGATGAGTTTAATAACAAAAGAGAAACCTAAAGATCATTGGGGAGCTATAAGAAGAGAAACTTCTTCTAGGGCCCGTTTGGTAACGGTTTTTGTTTCTTGTTTTTCATTTAAGCTAAACATAAGTGACGTTTTGATTATGTTGTTGTTTATCAATAACAAGAAACATTGTTTGATAATGCAAAGAACAAAGAGCATTGTTTGTTAACCTTAAATTGTTAAAAAATAAAAAAATAAATAATGTTGAACTTGTAAACTTACTATACATTCCAGATCACATCCATGTGAAATGGGTAAAAGATTCCTACTAATGATGCTAATCCAAGTTTCTATCTAACCTTTCAAAAAAGAAAAAAAGAATGCATGCCAACATTGTCAATTATTTTTGTACCGCGGACCCAATATGACCAGACTACCAGTACAATCAGTCCATTTCCATGCCTTATTTAAACAATATGTTTAATTATCCATCTAGGGCAAATTATATGTTCAACAAAAAGGGAAAGAAATGACAACAATCAAGCCAATCAAATCTAACAGCAAAAGGAATGATCAAATCGCAGCTTGACAGTATTAACCCATCAAAGCAGAATATGAAGACACATTGCAAGCAATAAGTACACATAAACTAATCAACAAACACGAAGTTAATATATAACAATTTAGATAGAAGAAACCCTAAAAAACCATAATATCTAGAAAAATAACAAAAATCCAATAAATCAAAGTTCCTATTTTGATGTATGAATAAATAAATCTGGGATACAAATATATATATATGTAAATCATAGGCAAAACCGTATTGAATATATATATATATATATATATAATGTTCATCACGAAGACTGAGATTTGGCATAAAAGACTCAAAGAGCTGATCGAGTTAATACCTAGTTGTTGGCAGAGGGGAGAGAGAGAGAGAGCGCGAGACTTTGGAACATTAATTAAAAATCCCACATTTGAAGAGGCTTTGGTGCTACTATAAATCGTATTAGATTCAAACTTCCAAAAATATGGGAAAAAAATCGTACTTTAGATTCATGCTTAGTGGTGAAATACTCTTCCATCTTTCCATGGGCAGATTGTCACTCAATTATCGCTTGAAATGTGGCAAAAATCAGACTGGACTCTTTCACTTCTTTCTCAATAATATATATATGTTTTTTTTTTCATTCAACGCTTAGCGACCGTTCAATATAAAAACGTAATTACCAAAAATAATAATAATAATAATAATAATAATCACATGATGTGAAGAATTGTCTAATGTTTTGTCTATGGTGTTTTAGTTTTTGTGGAATCCTATAGCATACAACAGTGAAAAAATATGCTTTTGATAAAAATTATTTTGCTGTGCTACAAGTCTACAACAGCGAAAAAATATGTATTTTTATATGTTTCCACACTATAACTTTGGTACCCTAGTCATAAAAAAAAATAAATAAAAAAAACTCTTAAATGATATTTGAAAACTAATCATTATATTTTTTTTAACTTGCAATACTTTTCTATCCAACATATTTTTTTGTTACTATTTTCAAAAATCTTACCAAATAAATATTACTAAATATACTTATAATTATTATTCAAAACACTTTACAACAAAACACTTATTTTGTTTCAAGTTAAAACAAAATAGGTTACGAAAATTTTTGTTTGTTATTGGATTATAAAACTTTTAGCTCAAGTACAAAGTAATCAAGATTATTTTATTATTATTTTTTATCATTGGTAAACATAAGCCGAACTGCACTTACAAACCAACAACCCAAAACAGACCAAGCATAACTACCCCACAAAACAACAAACCAACAAAACCCAACTCAAAAATAGCTCAACAAAAGATCAGTTGGCAACAGAACAAGGAGGCGTCGCAATGCCATCCAAAATCACCAACTGTGTCCCAAACGAAGCTGAATGAGCATACATGGAAAGGTCAGCATTCCCACCGGCGCCACAGTCGAGTGCAATACCGGTGGTGAGAAACGAATCAGGACACAGACTTGTCGGAACATGCCCCACCGAAATTCTGGCCTTCTTACCCACCACCTTAGCAGACCCAGAAAAAGAACTAACCAACGATGGACGTCGCTTATGAGTAGACCGTACCAAAGAAGAACCCTGTTCATTATTCGACGACACATGGCCAGTATGTGAAGCAACTCCATGTGAACCTTTTCTACCACGCCTTTTAAGCGGCAAGACATTACCTTGATCCTGGGAGATAGAGGGCACACACTCGACAGGCTCGTCCACATGCACCAAAGCAACAAAACTTTGCGTAGGAGACTCTGGCACATCCTGAATACCCTGACTAGGCTCAACAACGTCTAGGACAACACCAGCACGAGAGCCCCCAACCGGAGCAAAAAAACAGTCCTCAGTCCGAGCACCATCCGGCACGCGAGAGATTTCAGCAATATTAGAAATCACTCCCGCCACACCATGAAATGTAGCCACAGGATCCGAAACAGACAAAATACTAGGAGCAGTACCTCCGTCGCCTTGGCCATCATCTCGACCAGCATCATCGCCCTCCACATACATCCAACGTCATCCTACCCCATCTTTTAAGGAACCACCCCGAACCCCATCCAAATTCCAGAGATCCTTTCCCTGATACCCATCCACCCCCAGCCACGGCCCATATTCCAACTTCCTTGGCAGAGTTGAAGAGTTGCCAAGAGAACAAGACTTCCAATTGTGGCCAATGACCCCACAAGCGAAACAGAAAGACGGGAGTTTTTCATAACGAACTTTAACCCATAAATCCGTATCAAACGGTCCCTGTAACCGCACATGCCTACGAAACAATTTAGTGATATACAAGACCACCTTAAGACGAAGAACCCTACTATCCTTTAACAAAGTTTATGTAGTTTCTAGCATACCTTTATCCCGAAGCTCAACTGTCAAACACCCACCGAGAGAATTCCCAACCCGCCTCCCAACATTTGCCGACAGGTAAGGGACAGGAACATCTATCAGATGAATCCAAAAAGGGGAGAAATTAAAGGACACCGCAGAAGATAGTAAACCTTCCTCCCACTCCTTCAAAACTAGTAAATGCTCATTAAACAACCACGGACTACCCTGAAGAATTCGATGGCGGCTCTACCGATCCGGAATAAAAAGCTGAAACAGATTTCACGTCACCTTATAAACAGGCAGACGGGCACAAGAAGACTCAACGGAAATCGCCTTGGCCCACAACTTGTGAAACAAACGGCCAAAAGTATACTTTGTCCCGGCCAAAGTATACTTTGTCCCGGCCAAAGTAATAGTTTTGGAAGTCCAAACTTTACCAAACAGACTATCTCGGCAAACAAACACTCCCTGGGTAGTGTCATCAGGCAAGATAAGCACGGGCTCCGTCTCTTCCCGCGTAAGTGTAAGCCCACGCATTTGCTCGACCAAAGGGACCTCCATAGCCCCAAAGAAAGCAACAAAAAAAATCAAACCCACGAAGCCACTCACTATAAGCGTACGAGAGAATACAGAACCCCAAAGACGATGTAAGAAGCAACTGAGCAAAACATATTTATAAAACCCAAAAAAAGAACAACCGGGCCACGTATAACAGATTAGAACCTGAGATAACAAAGACCGTAGTAGACCACATGTCAACCAGCTCCAAACCCAAAGCGGTACCGCGAGGCCTTTAGAGAAAACGTCGAAAGAAAGCATAGTAAGCCACACCACAAATTGGACACAAAGTACAAAGATACCCATGTGTATCCGCAGAGTCACGAAGAACAGATGAGGTAGAGGAAAATGGGAAATCAGCAACCATAAAACAAAGAGACCCAAAAGGGTCCACCACTCTCTCACCAGCCACCTGAATCAAAGAGCTAGCAGTCTTCAAGACACACCCATCAGCCATCGAAAAACCACCCAAGACCACCACCACCTAATTGGAAACCACCGAGGCCAACCCAGAACCAAAGACGAGAAAAACCGCCAGCAATGGAACTAGACAACCCGCCGACGGGAAAAAACATAACTCAACGGATCAGAGAAGCAAATCGGAAAAACCGGAAATACACGCCCCCACCCCAAAAAGAGAACACCATAACACAAACGAAGACGGAACCAGGAAAAACCCGCGACAAAATACATATGACACCCACCAGCACGGAAGAAAGCATAGACAGAAACAGGATACCGAAGCGAAAGACAATCCAAGGAAAAACCCAGAAAAAGGAAGAAAACCCACCAAGATTTGAACACCAAACCCACACTCACCGCTTAAAACGAACAAAAGAAATCAAACTAACAAAAGAAAGCAAAACGCAACCACTCTCACGGACGGAGAGACAACGGAAGTTACTAGTCTATACGTGAACTTGAGGTTGCTTATATCAGGTTCATCTCTTTGACTATGTTATTATTTTTAACACCGGTGGAATTGAATGTAACAGTAGAGTTTAAAATTAATTTCAAATGAATGACATTATTTTGTGACAATACTTGCATACTGGTTTGCGAGTAAAAAGTTTCTACGTATGGTGAAGAAAAAGAAGGGGGAAAAAAAAAAAATACAACTTTCAATTTAAAAAATAAGATATATAAAAGAATATTCGGAATATATCAAATAACAATCCGGATCCAAATTAATCCCTAATTCTCTTCCTCCACTTAGGGATGGCAATTTCCTCCAACCCGTTGGGTTTCCGCCCCACTCCGCTCCAAATGGGGTGAATTTGGTAGCTCCATAAATGGGTTTGGGGTGGATATGGTAAAAGAATTGAAAACCCGAAGCGGGTTTGGGGTGGGGGCGGATTTAGTGATGCCCCCACCCTACCCCCGCCCCGACCCGACACCCGATTATATATATATATATATTAGTTAAGTGTGCATTAATATATTTTGATTAAATATTCGCTAGAATCACTACTTACTAAAATTTTACAATTGTGCACGTGATTTAATCTTCAAGAATCAATTAAGGATTCAAGACCTTAGTATTCTATCGCAAGTCCAAGAATTAATTCAACAGTTTCAACTTTATCGCAATTAAACGGAATACGCGAGGCGGAGTTGGTACTTTGTCTACCGGAGTAGGGGCGGGGATGGTATACCAATTATAAACCCGTCCTGGAGTTGAAGCGGAGTTGGTATGACGGATTTTTTAACAGGGCGGAGTAGGGTTTAGCCAACTCCACCCCAACTCCGATCCGTTGTCATCCCTACCTCCATTCTCTCTCAAGCTACACGACTCGGAGGAGACCAACCTGCAAAAACCCAACCTTCATTATTTCTGTTCACCTCCACTTTCCTGACAATTTTGATAGAGAGAGAAATTCAGTATTATCAATCACAAAAAATAAAATTCCTAATCACACAAAATCCTTCTCAAAGTTAGCTCTTCAACAAGCAATTAATTCTTGATGTTAATCTTGGTAATCACTGGTGATTAGTCTTGAAATAAGTTTACTTGATTTTAGAGACAGAAAGTGAGATAAAAAAGAAGATATAAATTAAGAAGAATTGGGTCAGGCTAATTACAAGATAAATGAGAAAAAGACTGAAATCATTATTGAGATTATGTGATTTTACCTCAAAAGGACTTTTGTTTTTGTGATTTTACCATGTATGATACTTGAAACATTTGATACATATATATTATACAATTCAATTAAAGAATATTTGTTGGTTTAAAATGTGTAAAACAAATGGGAGTAGTTTTATTCATTTATGCATACTGATATGGATATAATATGCATATATTATATATATGATACACATTTTTAAGAACTTAATTGGCAACCTTCATTTCCAGCTTTTTTGTCTATCATAGAAGGAGATCATGAATTTATAATCACCAGTAATCTCATGCTTCTTCACTGGTATAATTGATGTTTTCTCAGTTGAACAGCGGATACATTTTAAAACTACATTTCCCATACTACTCCTTAGAATCTGCCATGGTGCAAAAAAATTAAATTAAATGCAGGATTAGATATATATACATAATGAATTTAGCATCAAAAGGAAATATTTTACTTTAAATTAAAGATTAGCTATTGAAGTTGGATTTGAAAGCCTTAGATGATGTAAGATTAGAGGTCTACTAATCTTTGCCTGCATCAAACATGGGGTTAGCCTTGGAACACTGTCATTTATAGAGGTTGAGGATTCCAAACAAGAGAAAACCCTCACATACAAAAATTTGCTACTAATCCAGATTATAAGCATACCATCAGAAATAAGGAAAGAAATGGGTCTTGCCTGATCTAGGTTTCAATAAATGGATTTTGTGGTTGTAGACAGTACTGTATTGTTGTTGAGGGGCAGAGAAAACAGACAAAGGTGGGGGAGAGATGAGAGATGAGAGATGAGATATATATAATACGGAGTATTGGTAATGGATTAATGTGAAAGTTAAGTATAATAGCAGCGTGTGAGATATAATTTGGATCTTGTTTATTATTTGGTATTAATTCGGATATCCTCCTTTTATGCATTTATTTATTTATTTTTAAATAATATACTCACATACTTCACACTCTAAGTCAGGTAAAGTAGGAGCGAAAGTAAGAGTGAGAGCGACGCAATTAAGTTATTTGAGTCCGAAAGCGTTCAGAACGTGGGAGCGAATATTCTTTCAATTTTTTTTTTTAGTTAAGGGTTAGTTTGGTTAGCGCCAACGAGGGAAAAGAAACGATTTTTTTAAAAATTATTTGGTAGTTTGGTTAGCGTGAAAGATAAAATTTTCAGAAAAGATTTTTTTATAAATTATTTGGTAGTTTGGTTAGCGTGAAAGATAAAATTTTCAGAAAAGATTTTTTTATAAATTATTTGGTAGTTTGGTTAGCGTGAAAGAAAAATTTTTCAGAAAAATAATATTCCCGCAACCGATTGATTTTTCTTAAAATGTTTCCTCTATAAAATACGCAAAAATTTCACTTTCGCGTGAAAGTTGTATCATGTGTCGTTTTTTAGACTCACAAAAAGAGTGATTTTTTTTTTTTTTTTATAAATTAGGATTTTTATTTATATTACAACTTTCTAACTTTTTAAATTACAACTCCTAATTAAGTTACAATTTTTGACTTTTTAAATTAGGACTATATTTATATATTATATATATATATATATATATACACACGTACATATATTTTTATTTATAAAATAATTATTTATATTTTTTATTATCCTTGTTATATAATATATTTTATTTAGTATTAAATTCATGAGAATAATTTAGTATATAAATTATTTTCTTTTCACGTTTTTGCAAACCAAATAATGAAACATCATTTTCTACTCTAAGGCTATGTTTGGTAGGATGGGTTTAAAAGGGGAGGATAACATTAGTTATAAGGGAAAGGGAAGGAAAGGAAAGGGAAGGATAAGTTTAATCCTCAATCGTGTTTGGTTGATTAATGAAGGAAAAGAAAGGAAAGGATAACAATCATGTTTGGGAAAAGAAAGAAAAGGGAAGGATAATAAAAAATTTACTATTATGCCCTTTATATATTTTAAAAGATAAATTTTTATATTTAAATATGCAACAATATTTTTGCCCCAAGATTCAGTTCTAAGGCTCAGTTTGGTAGCAAATGCCACATTCATGTTCTCTTTCCAAATCAATATTTCAAAACTCAACAACACTTAACTAATTTATGCAGTGGTATTGAGGCTAAGCAGCCCAACTCTGCCATGAGAAAATCTGCTCGTGTGCAGCTGATTAAGAATGGGAAGAAGATCGCTGCATTTGTACCCAATGATGGTTGCTTAAACTATAGTCTCCTCAATATAGTTTAGTGTAGATCTTCTTTAATGTATCAAATCTTATAAAAGGAGCCGGCTCAAGTAAAAGTGGAGGAGGCTCCAATATGAATGGAGCAGGCTCTACTTTAAGTAGAGGAGGCTCCAATATGAGTAGAGCAGGCTCCCAAAATGGGAGGCGGCTCCTTTGAAGAAAAATTGTTCTGGGAACCAATTTTATGTCATGTTAGGTGGCAGAAGTAAAACAAAGAAAAAGAAATGCAATTTACCCAAAAATAAAAAATAAATAAATAAAATGTAACTCACTTTTATTCCTAAAATGAAGTTGAAATAACATTCATACTCAAGAGCACAAATGAATTTTCGCTTAAAAGTTTGATTTCCTTCAACAAAAAAGATGATAAAATCAACAAAACAATAATAAAGTCAATGAAATAATCATATTGGTAAGTACTGAAACAATCAACAGATCGCATAGAAAACCCAATTACTAGATCTTCCTTCAAGCAAGTAACAACAGAGAAAAGTAAAAAAATGATCATTAATTTAATATTTAAATTTGGCTTCTTACTTTTTTGGGTGAGAGGGGTTTGATCACAAATGTAATCAATGATGATCAACAACATAAAACAGTAAGTTAGGTTCTTTCTGACTTCATTTAAAAAAAAAAAACTTAACAACCCAAGGCATGAAGTGGATCGAACATACAGATCCACCAATTTCTTGCAAATATTCAACTGAAAAGAATCAAAGACACCAAAAGATTCTATAGTGAATTATGTTTGTGCTAATTTCGACTAAAAATTAAGAGCAGGAATATATATAAATTGAAGAGGGAATTTCATGGATTTAACATACCAGTGAAGGAACCCATCATATGGAAGAATTCGCCCAAAGCAAGATGAAGTCTCCTAAGTCAGTTTGCTCTCTGGAATGTTTCAATAATGACCCCAAATTAGGAAGTGCCGAGATATAATGGGAATAGGACACTTGAAGGGAGCCGGCTCAACCATGATCATGGAGCCGGCTCTTATGGGTTTTTGAGAGGTGCCGAGTGAAATAGGAAGGATGTAGATGAGTGGAGCCGGCTCTTCCTTTTTGTGGAGCCGGCTCCACATTTTTTTTGGAGCCGCCTCAATTAGTTGCTGGAGCCGGCTCTCTTGGGCATTTGAGAAATCCCGAAAGAGTTGGTGTATGCAGGCCAATAAAGGAGCCGGCTCAACCTATTTCTAGAGGCGGCTCTTCTTGGAGATGCCGTTACAAACCTTTCCCTTCTATCTCTATCATCAACTTCCTCCTCCGGCACAGAGACCATGCAGTGAACCCATTTCCCCCTTTTCTCTCTCCTATTTCTTCTTATACCAGTGAATTTTGGCCCCTTTGTTCCCGCGCTGAATATACGCCTTCCTTTGTTCCCGCGCTGAATACAGGCCCTAATATAAAGAGCAAATTTGAGGGTAAAATTGGCCTAACAAATATTTTGTATGCCATCGCCTGCCATTGCCTTCCCTTTCCTTTCTTATCCTCCCAATTTTGGAAGGTTAAAAAATTACTGTAAGTTGCTTATAAATAACCCTCCAAACCCCTCTCTCTTCTTCCCTTTCCCTCCACTAACTTTACCCAAACACAATTTTTTTATTACCCTCCGTCCCCTTCCCTACCCTAAAGAGAAAACGATATTTACGCTGATTCGTTTGACCGATTTCCTAGGCAGAATCTTAGTGGCGTCTAGCTGGCAAAAAGAGTGCGCATGTAGCCAAACACCCTTCATCTTCTTCACAATTTCAGTCACCAAACTGCGGCTCACCTACGACAAGGACACGGTAGCGCTGCAAAACTCTCTCGGTAATAGAGAAGAACCAGTCGATGGCAAAGGACCAAGCAATCAGCCCCAAACGAAGACACAGATCACAAAACAGTTACAAACGGCAAGTACACAACCGAAGACAACTGGCGACAGCAGCAGAGGGGTCGTCGATGGGATAAACAGCACTATTAGTCTCTGTAGACTTCTCGGCGACCGGAAATTGAAGGTCGTCGGTGAAAAAAAACTGGCAATCGACTCTGTTCCTCTCGGCGCAAACAACTTTGTTCCGAGAGAGAGATTGTTGAGGCGATCCGAATGACAACAAAGATGAGAACAATGGAGAACCGAGGCCACTAAACAGCGAAGCCCCAAACAAAAAACAATCAAACAAACAAGTGATGACTCCGTCGGCGGCAAACAGCGATAGCGCGATCTGTGCAATTTTTTTTTTGAACCGCAACCCAAGCTCGCCGACACACGGCGACTGAAATATCAAGATCAGAGAAGAAAAAAAATCTGATGGCAGTTTCACACAACAAAATCTCTGCACCTCCTCTTTAAGCAAATCAAGTCCACAAGTTAGTCCAGCAAAATCCCTTTTCTTTTCCTTTTTAGTTGTTTGGCAACCTTACCCGCGGAAACTATCGGCCTATCTATCCCGACCCTTGGTTAAATTGTTAGAACACGTCACTTCATTTTTATGTCACACTAGTAATAAGTGGGAACATCCATCCTGTTTTTGGTAAATTATCCCCACAATTATTTGTTATATTTCATAAATTATTAAGTGTTACTTAATAACTCAATTTAACGTTTCATTCTGAACATATTAAACATTTATTCAACGAAGTATATTTGATAATATATTTTAAATATCACTAAATATCATTTAAAAAAGATAAAATTTTAATTAATAAAATCATCACTTATTACTAAAAGTTAAAAATTTTAAAAGTATATATAAAAAAAAATTTAATTATCACTTATAGCCGAGCGCTGAAAGTTGAAAATTTTAAAAATATAAAAATATTTATTTTTTAATTATCTTTATATTGTTCCATTCCAGCACAGGAAGGGAGGCTGACTCGCAGAAGATAGAATTTGTTTATAGGATTAATTATAACGACGTCCCTTGAGTATCACCGCCGCCGCCACCAGAGCATCTGAAGATAATCTTCAGATGAAGAAAACATTGCAATCAATCCGCTTCATTCGTACTAGAACTCAGAGCATCTAAACCCAGATTAACTCAAAAAGCTTATAAATGTGATCACTATCAAAAAATTGAACAGAAAAAAAGCTCTGAAATTATTGAGAAGTGAATCGTCAATTGCGAATTAAGCTTGGAATAAAATATAAAAAACCAGTTTGAAAGGATCCATCCAATTTACCATAGTTCGAAAGAATCAAGTTCACAAGAAATCTGGCAGGGAAGTGCATATGTTGGAAACCTATAAACCCTTGAATTAGAGAGATTTGATTTAACGAATTAGAATGAAAGGAAAAGGAAATAAATTTGAACGATTTGGAAGGAAAAAATTAAAAAAGGAAAAGAGAAAGGGGAAGAGTTCACTGAGATATGCATCTGCACATTTGACACAGCTATACACAGTTGCTTAAAACTTAAAAAAAAAAGAAAAGAAAGATCAACTCCTAATCTCTCTGTGTAATATACAAACATATATGTGTATTTATAACCCGTAATCCATCTTCTTTCCCAAATCCACTTCCCCCAAATTTTCTGTAATCTATCTTCTTCCTACATATATACATACATACATACATACATACATACATACATATATATATATATATATAGATTGTGATTAATCGAACCACCACCGCCATCATCGTTCTTCTCGCCGGAGCAGTGGAGCCTCGGCATCGGGTCGTCGTCGGGAATTTCTCTAGCCGTTAACGTTGTTTGGTATGATGGTCGCCTTCGTCGAAGCTTCCACTGGTCGTCGCCGTCGTCGAGAATCACAGTTGGATCACAAGCTTTTGTTTGGTGGTGGGTTAGCGTCGGTGCGATGGCAGCGGCTGTGGTTGTTGGGGAGAGGCGGCGGCTGCTGTTGTTGACGTCGGTGCGATGGTGGTGGCTGTAGATGAGAAGTGGTGGCGGCGGCTGTTATTGGCGTCGGAGAGACGGCTGTGGTTAAGAAGGGCGGCGACGGCTGTTGTTGATCATGAAGCGGCGATGGTGGTGGATCAAGATGCAGAGGCGACGACGACAGCGGGTCAAGATGGCGGCGGATCAAGAGGCAGCGGCGACGACGGTGGATCAAGACGCAGAGGAGACAACGGATCAAGATAGTGACGGTGGCGGATCTAGATGGGCGATGGCGGATCTGGATTAAGGAGGCTTTGAGATTGGATATATGTATATATATATTTATATATGAGATGTATATATATTTATATATATATATAATGGTACTGATGTAATAATGAATATATATAAGGGTAAATTTGACTTTTCATGAGTTATGATATTTTAAATAATTAAACATTGAAGGGCAATTTTGTCTTTTCAAATGTTTTAAGGGCTTGTTTAAATCAGAAAGGAAAGGTGTCTTTGTTTAAAAAAGGACTAAGTTGTATATGGCTTTATTTAAAAAAGGACTAAGTTGTATATGACTGTAAATATAACAAATCTCGGGAGGTGTCGTTATAATTATATCTAACACGAAAATAAAAAGGAAGCTTGATATTGGCAGGTGCTGTAGTACATTCCCCAAAAATAATTCTATAGCAAAGCAAAAGGAAAGAGAATGTAGCACAAATGAAGTCTCCATCAAACCTCCTCCTGCTGCTTCTTTTTTGTGGTGGTGCTTTTATGCGCTAAACCACAAATCACCGCAAACAGAGGAACAAGATCATCCATCATATATTGATTTTCCTTTATCAATGCCAAGGAGATATTAACAAACTTTGCACCCCATTTTTGGGTTTTGTGATCTTCACATGCACACCCTCTTCCATTCTAGTAACAAATGATAATTTTCCATACAATTAGTGAGGATATATTCAGCATCCTCTGTAATTTCAAACCTAATTTCAACAAATTAATTCTTAAAAATAGAGGGAAAATTGGATAGAAAATCAAATCACAGAAATCAAGATGAAGTAAGATGGAGACTGAAGCGGAACAACAAATGTATCTTTTGAACCTCATCAAGCACTCCATTAAGTTCGCCTGAATTCCTTCCCCGCTGGCTATTGTGTCGTCAATACTTTTAACTTTTCTAAAAACAGAATAATCTCAAACTGCACCCTCTGATCCAAACACTAAACCAATAAACAATCCCACTTTCAACATAATCAGATCATCCAACACACGAGGTCCACAAATTTTCTAGAATCTAAGAGCGAGAGATGTGATGATGTTGGTGATTTGATAAGCTTGAAGTCTTGAAGTGAAAAGTTAAAATAAGAAATCTTCGGAGAGAAGCTTTGAATCACCTTTGATGATGTGAAGATGCCAAAGAGTGTTGATGAGAGGTATGCATATTGTTTGGTCAAAGAGAGGGAGAGAGAGCGTAGTAGACAGAGAGAATGAAAGATGAAGGAAGTTTAAGTTAACAGAGAGGGGCAAACATGACATTAGAAATGTTTTGCGAGCTGGAGCTTTTCTGTACAGAATTAAAACTTTTCTGTAAAAGTAAATAAAATTATCTACTGTTGGTGTTTTTGCATGCATTAGTTTTTGTGCTTGACGAGAGTTTGAACATTCAAATTTTCACTTCCTAAGCCTTGTTGTTTCCCTCTACTTGCCTGAGAGCTTTTGGATGATCACGGGAAAAACTAAGCAAGTCAGCTCAACCCACGGCTTCAATGGCTGTCTTATGCCGCGCCACTCAGGCTATATATCTTCGAAGGCAGCATCCAACAAAGTGGTTCAACCCGCTTGAGACCAGCCACATTGCTAGGCCTCCTCGAGCAGGTTGCACTGTTAGAGCCCAGCAAGAGAGAGTACCAATTCTAGGACTCAGTTATTATAATGGCTTCCTTGTAGGGAGGGAGGCTTCTTTAAAGCAAAGAGAGTGTGCATCTGCAATGACTGCACGAGTCTCGTATAATACTACAATATTTCAGTAACAAAGCATAACAACCTCACTGACAGACCTCCCATTTCTCAAGATTTCATTTTCTGTCCGAGCAAAATGAATACCTATGCAGAAAACATACAAAAGAAAATTCTTAAAAAGTTTTAAGAGGCAACATAGACATCATCCAAGCATATATGATCGATAATTGTCCCCTTGCTTAAAAAAAACAAGGAAAGGTCTGCGAATTTCATGAAGTTCAAGCACCAATAAAAATAAAAGGCTGATATTCATAAACGTACGTTCCACTATGGCACTATCATGGAAACGTTGTTTATTATATATAATACTAAAATAAAAGGAAGTTTAATATTGGTAAGAAGTACTGATATGCTAAAACACAATGACCAAAAGCTTATATTACCCCTAAAATTCTTCTTTAGCAAAGAAAAAGAACAGAGAATGTAGCACAAATGAAGTATCAAACCTGCTCCTAACTTGGCTGGTTCATTTGGGTTTGTGCTTTTTGTCGCATTCCTTTCAAAGTTACCAGGCTGGGTGGGGAGCGATACAATTTTTTTGTAATTTTATGTCCTTGAGCAGCAACTATTGTGTGGTTGATTGTCCCACTCTCCATGTTATAAGCAAAATATTTTTCCTCTTTCCACCTAAACCACAAATCACCATTCTTAGCAAACAGAGGAACAAGATCAACCATCATATCTTGATTTTCCTTTAGGAATACCAGGGAGATGACAAACTCTTCACCCCATTTCCACCTTTTGTGATCTTCCAAGACCAAGACATGCAGAACCTCCTGCACTCTATTAACAAATGATAGTTTTCCATTCCAGCTTAAAGCCTCAACCTTTTTCTGATCAGGGACCAAATCTTGTGACAAAGCAGTAACTGTGAAGCACTCGGTCTCTACATCTAGAGATACCACATCTTGATATATATTTGATCCAACATTAAATAACCGAAAGCAGTGAACAGTAGAACCAATTGATACAATTACTGAAGCTCTATCTCTGTTTTTGTTAATATCATCTAGGTTAGGGAGTTTGAGGGGTCTCCAAGAATCATCAGTTCCAACCGTAAGAACTTCACAACCTTCATTGCCAGCTTTTTTCCCATCAATATCATAGATAGAGACCAATTTATAATCACCCGTAGATGGAATGAAAGACAAGGAGATGTCAATGCTACCCTGATGTGGATCAGGCAATTCAAGTATTTGGCGGGTGGTTGGATTCTCAATAAAATATTTAAGAGAGCCATTGTTCATCTTGAGTAGCAAGCCATCACAACCACACATAAATTGGAATGAGTAAGCGGGAGCTGGAGTTTTAGCTATCGTATTATATTGATCAGTAGCAATGATGGTCCTGCTAATATGCTTTTCAATGAAGTGGCGACCTTCAATTATAGCATACCATTGCTTGCACACACACTTGAGCCTCAATAGGACTTTTACCTGCAACCAACTCAGAATCTCAATAATGATTTCAGTGGGGATGCTTGGTTCAGTAGAAGAAACAGTCATCTTCTCATTTTTCTTGTTAATAGCAGTCTTGTGCTTCTCTGCAGGTATCCTTGATGTTTCAGCTGATTTCTCAGTTGAACAGCCCATACGTGTAGAACCTGTATTTCCCACACTGCTCTTCACCATACTACCACCACGAATCTGCATGCCATGGAGCAAAAAAAAAAAAAAAACACAAAAAAAAAATTTAACAAATGCAGGATTAGATACATAATGGGCATCTAAAGGGAATATTTTAGTACGTTAAATTAAAGATTAGCTATTGAAGTTGGATTTGAAAGCCTAAGGTGATGTAAGATTAGAGTTCTATGAGACATATTCTATTGTCAACCTTGTACAACCAATCTGCCTGCATGAATTTCAAAAAACTTCTTGCACCTTCAGACCATCTCATTTGAAATCCACACATATAAGCCTCTCAAATCAAACTACACATATTGTTAAAACTTGGGTATAAATTAAACTTCTTGAATAATTAAACTTTAAATCCAGGCAATCCGATGGGAACCTTAAAGTTTATCCGCTTGATAACCGCAAATTATATATTGTCAACTTTTGACATTGTATTTGTAGAAAAAAAAATTTGCCCCTCATTTTTTGAGGCTTGCAAATGGCAAAGAGGAAGTGTGCACATGCTTGTTTCATATATTCATGCATGTCCTCATTTTTCTAATCTTTAACTAAACATTTTTTTTTTTTACATACAAAAAATTAACATGTTTATGAAAATATTGGGCTTATGAAAATAATTTTAAAATAATAGAGCATCATGAGTCTGACACTAGCTCAAATGCTTGCAAAGAGCAAATTAAATAAGGCTTCACATTGTCTCTCTTGTTACTTCACATTAAGGCAGTGGAAAACTAAAAATAACAAAGAAAAATTGAAGGCACACAACAAAAGCTAGAAAATAAAAACAGAACCAAATAAACAAAAAATTTAAATTATGTAAAATTTGTATTACATAGACCAGAATCATTATCATAATCTACTTTCACTAGTTGATGTTACTACATGACAGAAATAACTGAGAGTTTTAACAACCAAAGTAAGATGATGCAATAAAAACCTCAAGTTTTAATTTAAAAAAAGAAAAAGAAAAAGAAAGCGGACACATATATACCAATGAGTCAATGACCATGCACCATAAAGCAGAGTAAACAAAATAAGGAATGCATTTGTCCTAAAGCATCATTTTGGAATTACGGTACCAATGATTTGTTGAGGATTCATATCAAGAAAAATCCTCAAATGTATTATTAAAATCCAGAAAATTTGGAATAACAGTTGTAGTATAAAATATAGAAAATCAAATCCTGAATCGAAATACAGGTCCGCAAGTGTACTCATCCAAATTATAAGTATACATCAGAACTGAAATCTTAGTTACATACAAAAGGTATGTGCATGAATCTAAATGATGCCATACAAAAGGTATGGGCATGAATCTAAATGATGCGTTTAATAACAAAATAGAAAGCCAAAGATCATTTATGAGCTATAAGAAGAGAAACTTTTAGTTATATATATATATTATAGACTAAAGTAGTGATTTAGCAAAAAATTTAGAGAGCATAAATAGACAGATCAACAAACACAAAGTTAATACATAATAATTTAGAGAGAAGAAACGGTAAAAGCAGAATATGGAGAAAAATAACAAAAAGGCAACAAAATTAAAGTTCAAATTTTGAGGTATGAATAATAAATCTGGAAAAAAAAAATTAGAAAAATCATAGACATGTAACAGTATTGGAAAAGTAGTAGTTTGTCCATCAGGAAGACTGAGATTTGGCATTAACCAGACTCAAATAGGTGATTTAGTGAATACCTAGTTGTTGGCAGAAGAGAGAGAGAGTCTGAGAGACTTTGGAACATTAAGAAGTTGACATTTTTAAGAAGCTTTGTGGTACTAATGGTGGTATTGGATTCCTGCTTGGCAGTGAAATTGGGATGGACTCTTCCATCTTTCCATGGAAAATTGTCACTCACTTATTGCTTGACATGTGGCAAAACCTGATTGGTCTCCTCCATCTCCTCTTTGTCAATATTTACCATATATTTTTCATTTTTATTTGAATTCAGATTCTATACTGTTCAATTAAATTGTGGAAACTCGTGTGGGGTGTTACTGGATTATAAAACCTTTAGCTTAGTTACCTTCGGTCAAGAATTTGGGGGTGGCATTCAGGTTATAAATAATAGGGTTACAAATTTCAAAGGAGTATTGAGATTTCATTTTGCATACCTATTTAACACAACGGTGAATGTCATTGGTGTGTGTGTACACACATATATATATATATAAACAAATTTGGGTTACAAAATATTTTATATGAAGTATATTTTCGACATTTCATATAACAAAAGAATTTATGATGCGGAGTAAAAAACTTACCTCATACCTCTAGTTCCAGAGTTTAATATGGAACAAGATTATTATGAATATTATGAAGAAGAGACCCTACTGTGGCAGTATCGGGAAAATATTGGGTCGGATTGGTACCGGCAAATCCGATACATGAGGAGCGCAACAGAATCGGCCGATACTTGGGCCACCGGTATCTGAACCGGCAACAGGCGTTGGTTTGTGGATCAAAAGAGAGAAAAAAAAAATAAAAGAATGAAATCTGGATTTGATCACGTCGGTAAATATGTTTGATTACCTTCTTCCCCGGCAGCACAAAGGTAGAGGGAGGCTGTTGGAGCAATCGTTTGCTTCTTCGCGGCAACTTCTCGGATTGTTCGATCAATCGCTTGCTTCTTCGCGGCAACATATTGGTTGATAGAAAGAGAAACACCAGTGTCTTCAATGGGATTTCTAAGAGACCTTTTGAATCCAAACACAGACGCCACAGACTTCTTGGCCAACTAAATTTACTGCTTAGCACCGGATCTTTTTCTCTTTCCTTTTAAATATACGTACTGCTGCCCTTAGTTATAAAGTACAGTCTCTAATTTTATTTAATTTTTTTAAAATCACGGGGTACAGTTGTGTTTGTCATTATCACTCTTTTTCTTTTCCCGGAGTAATATAGTACGTCATAAATTTTTTCTCTAATTTTGATAATAATATTATGATTGTTAATAAAATAAATTAAGCTTTATAACTCTTTAGCAGTTAACTAATTGTGTTAAATGAATTTCAAATTTTTAATAAAATTCACTAATTTGAGTTTACTTATTCATTAACTTTGTAAAAATATAATTAAAAGACAATTGATCTAAAATTTATAAATAAATTATTACTTTTATTAGATAATATTAAAAAAATCAATAAAAAACACTAAAAATTCATTTATGTCAAATTATGTCGTAGAAAGTAGTGTATATATTGGTGCATTTTGGTGTGTAAGTTTTAAAAAAAAAAATATGACCGCAATTTCTGTCCATTACATTGCGTTTCCCACAGATACTGCAGCTGCAAACCTTGATTTATGTGTAATTGCTTTTAAAATTAATTAAATAAATAAATAATAAAAATTACTCATTTTCCTTAATAATAAAGAAAACAACAAATACTCCCTCGTTATGAGTCTTGGAACCCAAACAGATAGACTAACTTGCAAGGTGAGGCGGACGCACCATGGTCTCAGTTTGTGCACTCACTCACTTGCCTTCTAATAAAGAAGAAGAGGAGGGATCATCGAAGAAACAGAGGGCAAGTCTGAAAAATAATTAATCCTACAAAGAGCAATTATGTAATAAGTAGAGCAATTATATAATAAGTTCATAAAAGATTATTATCTGATTATAAATTGAAAAAAAGCAAAGCAAAACATGTGATAACTCTGTCCATTAAAGGGTCGGTCACTGAGTCTCTCCTTTTATAAAAAAATAAAAAGTTTTCAAGAAAAATAAATAGCGTCTGTCGGTCAGCCACATCACATGGTAAATATTTTTGGATATGTATTCCTTCTACTCCTTAATTAGATTACATGAACTCATTAAAGTGACTTTGGTTCTTTAAATTTCTTATTCAAAGGATTCATAACAATTGGTTTTGCTCACTGCCTATTCATTTGTTGACAATCCACTGCACAAAGGTTATACCATCATTTAGTATGAAAAAATTTGATGCACAAAACATTACTCTTTTGGTCGCCAATTAAATGTTTTATTTTTTATTTTTTATTGTCTCATAATAAATAAACATCCCATTTGAAAAGATTTAACCTTCTTACCAAACTATTACATCACGTGGACCTACTATGATACTATGAACATATTTAATAATTCATTCACTATTACTATAATAAAAAATTATTAAAACTCATCTTCTTATAAAATTTGATTTTTGAAAAAATATATATATATTTAATTTGAAATGAAAAGAGTATATACAATCAATCACATATATGTCACAAAATGTGAATCATTAATGAAGCATAAATGATGTCATAATGGCAATTACTCTCTCACAAAGGTATACTTGTCACTTTCAAGCATGATCCAAAATTCTAAAACTAATGGGAATGAAATAAATTTTCACGCATTAAGGCAGCATTTTAGTCATGAAAAGGAATTTCTTGTACTTATTTGTAAAATGGGAAATAAATGCAAAATAAATGTAATAATGTCTATTAAATTATGTTTATAATGCAATTTAAACAATTATTAAGTTTTGCCCTCGGATATTAGTGATAATGTCTATTAAATTATGTTAATAATGTAATTTAGCTTTATTTAATACCAACCAATAATGTTGCCCTTGACATTAGTGAGGGCAAGTCCATAGTGTGTTTTTTTTTTTTGTGTGTGTTTATTGGACTTGGATCTTCTAAGTTTAATCTTCTCTAAGTTATTCTAAGTTGAATTTTCTGCATATTGACAAGTTAAATTCTTTTAAATCCATCTGCTTGTATTAAACCACGTTAACTATCGGACTTAGATCATCTAAGTTAAATCTCCTTTAAGTTATCCTAAGTTGAATATTCTAACACGTGATGACGTTAAATAATTTAAAGAAAGTTTGAAAACTGCACCATTTTGAGATAAGAAAAGTTTGAAATAAGAAAAATTCACCATACCCTTTTTTTTTTTTTTTTTTTTTTGAAATCTAAATTACAAAATTCCTCTCCTTTTTAAAATTTAAACTGCAACATCGCTCTGGTTCACCCTATTTTTTTTTTTTTTTTCGAAATCTAAATTGTAAAATTTCTCTATTTTTAAAAATTTAAACTACAAAATCCATCACAGAGGCTAAAATATTCCCCAATGGCAATAATAAGCAATCTTTTTAGGAAAAGACTAGGAAAGAGACGTCGCTAAAGTATGTTGAATTTTTCTTTTCCTTATTTCAGTGCAATTTGTAAACTGTGGTAAATTGATATGGTTTAACACAAGTCGTAAATAGATTTGAAATGTCATGTGCCAATCTGCAGAGAATTCAATTTAAGCTAACTTAGAGGAGATTTAACTTAGAGGATCCAAGTCCATGTCTATACAAGTAAAACCATTATAACAAATTTGGAAATCCAAAATATTTGGCGTAAAAATAGTTCAAATCAGAGGAGTTATTTAAAAAAATCTTAACTGAAATATTAAGCATTACCCATAAAATTATTCTTTAGCAAAAAACAGAAAAAGAAAAGAGGAGAAGGTAACACAGATGAAGTATCCATGAAACCTGGTCCTAATTACTCGTACTTGGTTGTGCTTTTTGCTGCGGTCGCATTCCTTTCAAAGTTACCAAGCTGGGTGGGAGGCAATAGAATTTATTTCCCATTCTACGTCCTTCAGGAGCAACCACTGTGTGTCTGATGGTCCCACGCTCCAAATTATAAGCGAAGTATTTTTCCTCTTTCCACCTAAACCACAAATCACCATTCTGAGCAAACAGAGGAACAAGATCAACCATCATATCTTGATTTTCCTTTATGAATGCCAAGGCGATAACAACCTTTTCACCCCATTTTTGCCTTTTCTCATCTTCCAACACCAATACATGCAGAGCCTCTTCCACTCTATTAACAAATGACAGTCTTCCATTCCAACTTAAAGCATGAGACTTTTTCCAATCCGGGACCAAGTCTTGTGACAAAGCAGTAGCCGTAAAGCACTCGTTCTCCACATCTAGAGATACCAAATCTTGATATATATTTGATCCAATTATATAACCGAAAGCAGTGAACGGTAGAGCCAGCTGATACAATTACTGAATTAGCTCTGTTTTTGTTAACATCATCATCATGGAGTAGTGGTAGGTTAGTGAGTTTGAGGGGTCTCCAAGAATCATCATCAGTACTTCCAACCGTAAGAACTTCACAACCTTCATTGCCAGCTTTTTTCCCATCAATATCATAGATAGACACCAATTTATAATCACCCGTAGATGGAATGAAAGACAAGGAGATGTCAATGCTACCCTTATGTGGATCAGGCAATTCAAGTATTTGGCGGGTGGTTGGATTCTCAATAAAATATTTACCAGAGGCATTGTTCATCTTGAGTAGCAAGCCATCACAACCACACATAAATTGGAGTGTGACAGAGGGAGGTGAGTTGGCGGGAGGTGGAGTTTTAGCTATGGTATTATATTGATATCTACCAACAATGGCCCTGCTTACATGCTTTTTGATGAAGTGGTGATGTTGAATTGTAGCATACCATTGCTTGCACACACACTTGAGCCTCAATAGGTTTTTTACTGGCAACCAACTCAGAATCTCAATAATGATGTCAGTGGGGATCCTTGCTGATGTTTCAATATACTGGAGTACTGATTTCTCAGCTGAACAATTAAAACCCATATTTTCTTCCATACGTACTACTGCATGCTCTTAACAATAGAATCTGCCATGGAACAAATATATATATATATATATATATATATAACAAATGTTGCAGGATTAGATACATAATAAGGGAAAATTTTACTTTAAATATCTATAGATTAGCTATTGATGAGAGTCATACATATTCTATTGGAATATTCCCTTGTACAAAATTAATATTTGCCTGCATGAATTCAAACTATTCTTTCCATATATGCATATATGCACCTTCTTATTTGAAATCCACACATAAAAGCCTCTCAAATCAAACTACACATATTGTACGTATAAATTAAACTTGATGAATGATTAAATTTAAATCCATACATTTTAAATCAAACAGCTTATTTGGATAATTTTTTGATATTTGTAAAAAAAAATTAATTAATTAATTATAGAATAGTTAAAATTGAAAATTCATGGTGAGATAGAAATCGTATATAATTATAACATAGTAGTTATTAATCTTTGAGGAAGTTTAAGAGGTGAAGAAATTCAAAATGATAAAATGGGAATTTAAATTTTGATTTTTATTGCATTTTTATTTATTTATGTGACTTATGTGTTTTTCTTAATTGATTAATTGGGTTTAATGAAATTTATTGTTAAATTGTATTTGTGTAATTGTTTAATTTAAAGTAAATTACGATTAACAAAGTGCTCAATACAATATTTTTTCCATGGCCACAATTGTCTGATACATATGTAGGATACAACAGTAAGTTATGCAATTGAATATTTGGCGAAAAAGTTTTATAAATTTTTGTGTAAGGGCTATGACTTGCCCGAGATGATCTTCCGAGCAGACACAATCTTATTTTGCTCCATCCCATAAAGTGCATAAAAATATGCAATGCCATATTTATTTACAGGTTTACAGCTTGCACTTTACAGGATGGTGTGAAATAAGATTGCGTCTACTCTGAAATTTCAAAATAGATTAAATCATCACAAATATCCAAATTCCAAAATTCAGAATTATAGAATCCAAGCCACATCCACTTTACAGGATGGTGTGAAATAAGATTGCGTCTACTCTGAAATTTCAAAACAGATTAAATCAACACAAATATCCAAATTCCAAAATTCAGAATTATAGAA